CAACATTACTAATCTGGCAAATTTCAATGTCTATGAGCTGAAAAAATGAAATGTGCTATATTTGACCCTGTAAGTTTATAAAACAAAACAAAATCTGTTCATGGGGGGTACTACTGTACTCGTGAGACATCACTGAATACAAATATGTGTATGTTTTTTGCAGTAAAAGCTAACTGTATTATGACATTCACAGATAAAATGCCACGCAAAACTAAAAAAAATTAAAACACCCTATTACTCCTGATCAAAATTATATATAAGTGTGGGTGCACTTAATATGGTAGAGGTAAATTACGGATGAACAGACATATAGCTCAAATTCCAGGTTTTGTTTTATGTTTTGTTTTTAACACAACCTATACAATTGACTCTGCCTTATGGGTTTAAGGATGGAGGCGTACTTTTACTTCATTTATTTAACTATTTTAACACTTTTCTAAGCTATTTAGAACGTTTGTGCAGGATTTAGGGGGACTACCTAACATTCCAGGCACTCCTCATGCAGGCACTGCACAAGCCGTCTCTTCTGGCCATGTAAATGGGAGGATCCCGCAATCATATGGCCTTGGTTGGCTGGATCAGCTGCAGGGGGACTTCCTGGGCTCTCAGGCTGTTCCCAAGATCACAACCACCGACGGGAGATCAGCATGGATTGGGTAAGTAATAAGGATGGTGGGGAGGTTCTATGCCACCATGCAGCATTTAGAACCGCCCGCTTAAGGATGGTATACAACACCTGCCATCCTTAAGGGGATAAAATCACCATTTGAGTGAACTGTTTCCTAACTGAGGCAGCTAATTTGATCATGCTGGAGCGATTGTCTGGTAACTTCAGAAGTTATGCACAGCAAATATATTTTTTATTTGTTTGTTAGTTACTGTAAAATATCACTTCATTGGGTTTTTATAGAAAAAGGCAACAGAGTATTTTCTTTTTCCATATAGATTTCATGCTATGCTAAAAGATAGCATTAAATCTATATATTTCTATTTCTCTCTAAATGTTTGCAGACTTTGTTATGGTTAACATGAATTGCACATTTATTATATTTCAAGGTGGGGTGTAATAAAATATTAGGTACCATTTTAGCTTGATATTGATCTATCTATTAAGGCTACTATACAGACATGGTGTTTTAAAGTGCTAGAACTGTATTAAATGGCTTTAAAGTGAGCTATTTTCTTAATGTCCTCCATGACTTAAAACAACTAAAGAGCATAGTATGTGTTTACATTTTTATGGAGTCATGAGATTTTTTTCCTTCTTTGTGGCAAAACTGGAAACTTAAAAATTACTACAATTGTGTTTTTTGCCTTCTTTTGCATCAAAAGTATAAAAGAATGGGTTTCGAGGCTGAACTTAATGGACTTTAGACTGTTTTCATCTTTGACAACTATGTAATTTAAGGGTTGGTTATCTCTGCTGTTAAAGCTCTGCTTGCACTGAACCCTCGCGAGGTGAAGGATTAATTTTATTGTGTTGAGCTTTTTATTTTCTCTGCTTTTATCCTTCCATTAGTTACATCGGAAGCTATTTATTTTATTTAACCTTTCTTGTCTTTTTTGGGGTTGAAGAAATTAAGAGTTTGAAAAACTTCAAATAGGTAAGTATACTTTCTTTTTTTTAACAGGTATAAGTTAATTAGCATCACTATTATTAGGATGCAATCCAGGGAAAGCAGGGAGGACATGCTGCTATTTGGGGGGTGGATAATAGCGTGCTTAATTAAAGATCCCACCTGAAACCCACACATATTATAATACACTGACGACAGGTGCCTTGTGCGAGCCAACGTTGTGGCACCCCCCTTCTTCCCTTTCATGAAAACCCTTGCTCCCGCTTCTACAAAACCCCTGCTCCCTCTTCTCTAAAAAGCCTGCCCCACCTCTACAAAATTCCTGTCCCCTTCTAGAAAATTCCTTCCACTCTTCTACAAAATATCTGCCCCAACTTCTACAAACTCCCAGCACTCCCTTCACCAAAACCTCTGCACCCCTTCTACAAAACTCCTGCACCTACGTCTACAAAAACCCTGCCCCATCAACAAACCCTTTGCCCCTCTTCAACAAAATTCTTGCCTCCTTTAACCCCTTATGGACCAAACCTCTGGTATAAAAGGGAATCATGACATGTCACACATGTCATGTTTCCTTAAGGGGTTAATCAAGACCCCTGTCCCTTCACCAAAGCCCCTTCCCACCATTTCACCAAAGCCCCAGGCCACCCTTCAACAAAACCCCTTCACCAAAATTCCTGCCCCTCTTCAACAAGAGCCATGCCCCCCATGCTCCCCTTCAACAAAACCCTTGCCCACCTCTTTACCAAAGTTCCTGCACACACCTTCACAAAAACCCTTGCTCTCACATCACCAATGCACTCTTCACCAAAAACCCTGCCCCCTTTAACAAGATCCTTACCGCTTTCAACATAACCATTGTTCCCCCTTTCAACAAGACCCTTGCCCCTTTCAACAAAACCCTTGCCACCCTTCAACAAGAATCCTGCCCCCATTTAACAAAACCCTACCCCACTACACTAATACCCCTTCCACTCTTTACAAAAAACACTGCCCCTACGGTTAAAAAAAACCCTTCCCCTTCATTAAAACACTGCCCACCTTCAAAAAAAAAACCTGCACCCCTTCACCAAAAACCCAATCTGTTAGAAAACAAACAAAAAGTAATAGTAAACAGAAACAAGCAGACTCACATTACAGCCCGCTGTTCCCTGGACTCAGCTTACAGTGTTCCAGTCCACGACTTCTAAGCACTTACTGAGTGGACAACTTCCCTTACACTTACTGAGTGGATCCTTCTGCGATTCACTGGGAAGGTAGAGCACGTCGAGGTCATGTAAGTACGTGGCGTTGCACCCCCACGTTCCCCACTCCCTCTCCACGCAGCAGACCTCCTCCATAAGTGATATGATTACTGGCCACATCTCTTCCCTCATTATTCCAAGTTAAGTATAGCACTTGCACTTGCTTTGCTCTGCAAACACATAACTAGAGCTGGCCTGTGAGTGATCAACTGTGAGCTGTGTCAGCAGCCCGGTGCCCCTCTTGCCGTGGCACCCTGTGCAACCGCACAGCTTGCACATCCTTAAGGCCAGCCCTGAGTGGAGGTGAGTAGGACATAATGATGTCCCCATATTTGTTTTAACAATTATCCTTCACCATCTGGCCATACGTGGGGGGGCAGTGGGATAGACAGTGATATGTGTACCCCCTATTACTTATTGAGACTGCAGAGGCACCAATCTTACTTAATCAAACTAAAATGTTTTAGTGCTTAGAGTGGCACCATACGTGCTTAGATTGGCACAATATGTCTAGGTTCATAATATATTAATCTGTATACATAGTTTTTATGTTATTTGAGATTAGATATCCACCAGTGCTATTGTAGCCTGAGTATCAAAGACATCTGGAAACATGTTAACATTAAGCAACAATAAACTAAAATGAATGCTATATATTCTAAAGTTCCCACACAGCATGGTATCACTAGAATCTTTTACGCATAATACATGGGGCCAAAGGCATTTGGTTGCCTAAAATATGCAGTAAAATACATTTGTCCAATACAAAAGGTATTTTTCACCATAAATTATTTGCATTACTAACTATAATAAAATTAATATAACACCTTGTTTTGCTACAAAAAAAAGCATTTGTAGAAAAAAAGATAAAAGGTTCTTGAGTAGCGGTTAAAGGGTCCTGATTAAATCAAAGCTCA